GGCGCTCGGCTCCCAGCTGCTGGAAAACACCATTTCCTTCCTTGGCATGGAAGGGGTGGTGGGTTTGCCGCTGTCCTCTGCCGTTTCATCACTTCACGTTGCTCTTGCCTGACTTCCCTGGCTGCTCCCGGGCAATAATGCGGAGGGTGGAGGTGCAGGGAGAGGGGAGGTGTCCGCGCATCGCTGCTGCTCGCTGGAGCACCTACTCTGTGAGTAACTACTCCTGTTTTGTTGCAACACTGCCCAGACCGTGCAATCGGGTGCCACAGAGACAGGCAGAGGCAGACGCTGCTCCCAGGACCTCCTAGTCCGAGCCAGAGGTTTTCCCGAGCTCTTCCAAAGGTGTGGAGCGAAGGGCCTGGGGCGGTTGTGCGGGAGAAGGTCGGGGGTGGGGGTGGTTTTCTCGGTGTGGGGAACTTTGTGCCCGGCTGGAGCTGCTGGCAGAGCTCAAACGGGCCGTCCCCAGTGGGGAGGTGACACAGGAGCCAAGACAGGCCCCGATGGATTTTTGGATGGATTTTTGGATGGACGTGCCCATGATCAGCTTTGCTTTGCTCCCAAAGGTGGAGCCGTGCTGGGGGGGTGGAGGGAAGAGCAGGGCGGTACCCAGGAGGCCAGCAGTGCCCGTGTGTGGCCCGGGTGACACTTTTGGGGTGGCCTTGGTGGCTCTGCTGTGCTTCCCAACACCACTAGGTGCCTCCCGGCCTTTGCAGTGCCGGGAGAGGCGCGGGGCTGGCGCAGGGAGCGCCCGCTGAGCCCTCGGGCTGCTGCCACAACCCCGGCGCTGGGTCACCAAAGGGTGACTCTGGTCTTTGGGTCACTTTTGAGGCACGTTTTGCTTTTCGTAGAGCTGGGGCCTGGCAGGGTTTGACTGTCAGGTGGGGAAACGTGGAGCTGTCGAAGGCAGCGCTGCCAGGGGAGTATCGAGTGCGTAAGGAGCCTCTGCTGAGAGATGGATAAGGACAAACAGGCACATTTAGGTGGTGCAAACCCCCCCATCCTTCTGGGGGGTCCCTGCGTGCCTGGCTGAGCTGGGGAGCAGCAGCTGACTCTGCTGTCACTCTGCTGTGACACTGCCCGTGCCTGCCAGAGGCATCGACGTGCTCCGGGTGGTTTTGATGTTTGCTCGGTTCGTTCCTGGCTCACAGGAGTTAGGCTTTGGGGCTGACAAGAGTATGATCACCGTCAAGTTTGGGGGGTGGGGGGTATCCTGCCATCCCCGGTCGCTGTGAGGAGGGCAGGCTGAGGGTGTGGCAGGGCAGGGTGTTGGCAGTGACAGGGGTGTCACCGGCGCCTGCTCCACGCTCGGAGCTCACAGGAGGTTTAGGGCAGGACTGAGGAGAATCCCTGTGCAGGACAAGGTCCTCTGTGGTAGCTCTGGAGATGGGTGGAGAGAAGAGAAATGGCAAACCCTGTTGAATGTGATATTTTGTGCCTCTCCAAGCCCCTGATGCTGCTGGTGCCCTCACCTGAGAGTTCTTTCTGGGTGGCGAACGACCAGCCCCAAACTGCTTTTCCCCGGCATAAAGATGACCACAGACTCTGTCTCTGCCACAGAAGCAGTTTAAAAATCTTATTCTGTTTTTTTAATGCTGGTTTTTGCCCCCCTCCTACACAATCTGTCCTGGGTACAGCACGTACTGCCCAGTCCCTCACGTTGAAGCTCTGGGAGGTGGCACGGAGTTTAATGTGTTCACATCTTTCACCCTCGGCTTTTTTGTTTTTTTTTTGTTGCTCCAACAGCTCTGTTTTACCAGGCCAGCCAGCTTTTTGACAGCCATCCAGTTTTATTAGTGCAAAACCCCAAAATCCCACCTCCTTTGGCTTGCAAACAACCTGCTGATTGATGCCTGGGAGCAGAATCTATTCATGTGTGTGTGTGTGTGTGTGTCTGCTGGGCCCTGTGCGAGTCCAGCTCTGAAAGGAAAGGAAAAACCTGGATTTGCAAATGTCTGGGGCTTCTAAGGGTATTAAAAAAAAAACCAAACATTTGAAAAATAAATAAATTGAAAAACCTCTTGCTACAACTCGCTGCCTTTACCTTTGGGCTGCAGGGTTTCCTTGGGTCCAGCTTGGGAGAAGTCGGGTGCAGGTGAGGGAATCAGAGCCAGAAAGCACCTTCAAAAGACCCAGGTACCTCCTGACATCTCCAAGTGCTGTTTTCAGGCCCTGAAATGCAAACTACAAAAAGCTCAGTCTGTTGGGCTTTGCCATTTTTCCTTTTTTAAGTAGCGAACGTTACTCGTTCCCCCCTCGCAGAACGTGAAGTTTCCTTAAAATCCGGAGACTGGAGACTTTTCAAACTTTTATTATTATTATTATTCGACTCGAGGCATTTTCCAGAGGACCATTATTTCCACACAGAGTGTTGCTCCTTCTGAAGCTCAGGCCCATTTATAATCCCTTTATTCGAGCGCTCCAAATTGCCACTTTTAAATAGCAATATTAGTCCCAGGCTTTTCTACTTGTATTTATTGCTTGGATGAAAGAGGTGGTGTCAGGAGTGGAAAATGAGTGGAGGCAGAGGAGAGAAATAGGAGAAATTAAGGGAAGGAGGTGGAAAAGGGAACAAAGAAATCGATTAAATGCCTTTTTTTTTCCTCGTGCATCTTTCCCGAGGATGATTCTGTTTCTCTGGGAAACATCCCCCTTCGTCGGGTGTGTTAATATTTAATTAGTTGCTGATCATTAAGTGCTTACTGTGGTTGCTAATTTGGACAGGGGAGTGCTGGGAAATGCTGTGGCTGATGGGTGCTGGTGACAGTCTTGCTGCTGGGAGCAGAAGTAGGTTAACAGGGCAGGTATTTTTGTGCCTCAGGGCCTGGCAGCACCTCGTCTTCCTTGCCCCCAAACTTCCAGGAAACCTCTGGATGCCTCTTTTTAGGGGTGGGGGGGGTGCAAAGGCCATGGGAGCGTCCAAAAGTCCCACTAAAGAGTCTCAAATCCGCAGGGAAGGGTTCAGCCTCTCTGCCCTAACGTCACATTTGTTAGTGTGAAGTGCTGAAAACTCATTTTCATCCTTTGGGCATGTGATATAAAGCCTCAGGCTCTGAAATATTACAGTCACCATGGCTACCAGTGACTTATCTGAGGGAGTTTGACTTTTGTTTTGATTTTAAGTGTCTTAATTGTAGTTTAAAAATCAGAATCTAAATGCGTTTTTTTTTTTTTACTTAGGCATGAAACTAAAGGCATTAAATGATTTGCATTATTAAAATATCTATAATGCTGCCTGTCAAAAGGTTCTTAGAGAGGGTCCTTAATATTCATACTTCACGTTCTAAATAAAGTTGCTCTCCAGCTTTGTGGTGGTTCTGCTTCTCTCGCCACCAGAAAAAATTCCTTGCAGGTGCCTCGGTGGCTATTTTGCAATAATCCCAAAGCTTTTTGTTCAGCCGTGGAAAAGCTGTGCCATTCCATACCCTGCTGGATGTGAACACACACACAAATGTTCTGCTGGTTTTCCTCCTTCCTGTGTTGTCCCCCAGCCGTTCCCCGTTGGGGTCCCACCTCTGGAGCTCGTGTTTATGGGAAGAGTTCGGGCTCTTGGAAGTTTGCCCTGCTCGGGAATGCTGCCAACCCCCCTCCAGTTTGGCCTGGATGAAAAATTACCGAGCACCACCTGCCCCCAAAAAGGGGGATATAGAACTGAGACAGAGAGCACCAAACTACCCCTCCTTCCAAGGAGAACCACAAGAAGAGGAAGGACACGACCAGACAGTCGAGCAGCCGAAGAGATTTTTTTTTTCCCCCCTCCTTAATTCAATCTCTGAAATGTTACAATCTGTCCTGCTCTAATTCTCTCCACTTTTTGTGCAGCGGTTGCAAACGCTGCTGAAATATGAACTCATGCCTGGTTAAAGCCTTTAATTCCAGCTTTGATGTTTTTAATCATGGGCGCAGATTTGGTAAAAAAAGTGATTCATTAGCTCCGGGCGCATCTCGGGCCCCGCGTGACGCCGCGGGGAACGGAGGAGGTTCCTTGGGGTGTTCTCTGGGCCTGGGCTGGTTCCTGAAGTGTGGCCCTTCGAATCTCCCAGCCCCTCAGCTCCAGAGGCCTCTTGGGTGCCCAGATGCCTTCCTGGTCAGAAGTGGAGCAGTCCTTGCCCAGAGAGCTGCCTGTGGTCAGCGTGCTCGGGGCGAGGGCGAGCTCCTGCCCTGGGTGCAGCAGCAGGAGGATTTCAGGGCTTGTTTGCCTTCCCTGCCTGCTGTCTGGCTGCAACCACTCCCTTAACCCTTGCTGGAACATCTCCAGTGCTGGGGTTGGGGTTCTGGGTTGCTTTTCCCCACAGCACCCCATGCTGAGCTCTATCCTGCGGTGACCGGAGAGGATTGAAAGCAATCTGGCTTCAGAGCGGCGGCTTGGAGGCAAATCCTCAATCCCATTACTCGTTCCCTGGCAGTCCCTGTGTGGAACTGGGGTACCAGGGATGTTATCAGAGCCTCTGAGGCTGCTGCCCAAAAGGCATCACCTTGGGAATCAATAATACCTGTTGAATTCCAGCTGCCTTGTGTGCCAGGGCTGCAGTTACACGGATATAAAGATCCCTTTCACTGCTGCAGCTATTTCCACGTGAAAAGTGGGATTTCTGTTCCTGCAGAGCCACCTTTATACCAACATACTCGTGTCAGAGGCCCCAGTCATGTAAACACGTTGGGATCTCTGGGAGGCCCCTGGGACCTTGATGTGGGTGTGATTTTTATTTTCTTTTCTTTTATTTTTTTTTTTTTGGTGGTTTACATTTTTCCAACGGATGAATTTGGGAGCAGCCACACGCTTGACCCCGCTCCAAGCTGGCTGTGCTGAGGCCCTGCTGAAGGATGCTCTGGCCACACAAACCCCCGTGGCAGGGGAAGGACCTCCACTCGAGGACAAAGACGCCCGACCAGGGAAAATTCCAGAGGCTCTCCAGCCCTGCCTCCCTGGGAAAGGGAAGCGGAATAAACACTTTCTCGCTGGTGTGTGATGAAAGGCTTTTATCTCCGAAGGGAGGAGGAGATGCAGCTCTTCCCAAGTTTTGTCTGCAGGGCTGTTCCTGCTCTAACAAACTGTGAAGCAACAAGTCCAGGGGCCTGGTGAGATCGGGGCTGGGACAGGGGCAGCCTCACAGAGGCACGTTCAAGGCTTCCTTTTGGTTTTTGTTGGGTTTTTTTTTTCCACTCTCTGACATCCAACTGCTGCTCCCCTTCTCCCTCCGTGCAGCAGTGGGAGCCAAGGCTGTGGATCCACCACGCTCCTTCCCTGCCCTGCCCGTGTCCAGCCGAGCCTGCTCTTATCACAAATCCCTTTTTTCTCCCCGCAGTGCAAACACTGCTCCTTGCTGTTCTCTCACCTCTCCTCCTCCCTCTTTGTTTTCTGTAAATCCCTCACTCTGTTTCTCTTCATGTGGTTTTTGTTTTGTTTCCAGTTTATGTTGTTCATCTTAAAATCCCTTTTTTTTTTTAATCCAGGCTGAAGAAAACTGAGCATTATCAATGCTTCTCTTTTGGTTTCCTTTTTTCCCCCCCTTCAGAGTGTTGTGTAATCATCGGATCCTTTTATTCTATATCTGTAAATAGACAAAGGAACTTGTACAGGGAGTTTTTCCTGGAGTAGCTGTTCACAGTTACCTATTGAAATGAATCTCACATGCAAACACATTTATTCCACACAGATGTACCAGCCCACCCCTCCTTTACTTCAAACTTGCACTCTGGTCGTTCACAATGCCTGTAAAAGTTAATTGAGGAAGAGGAGAAAGGGGAATATTTGTGCAGGTAAAGCCTGTGGTTTGTACCCGTGCTGGGAGGGCTGTGGATCCAGTGACAGCATTCCTGGAGGGATGAAACCCTAAGGCTGGGAAAAGGAATATCTGAAGCCAGCATAAAAACAAGCACTGAAGGGAATTCCCAGGAGAGGACTTTTGCAGGAGGTGGAGTCTGATGAAGTTCCAGTGAATTCGGGAGCTGCCATTCCTGGATGAATCCCCGGATCCGTCTGGGTGGATCTCACCTGTCCAACCTGGAGCAGAGTGGGTTTGCTCCGTGTCTGGTGCTCTGTGTCCAGAGGGAACATCATTTCCTTGCTGGTGGTGGATGTTTCCTCCTTTCACCTGCAGCAGATCAAAGTTCCAGGCAGGAGAGTGAGAGGAGTTTGACACGATGCGGATCCGCTCCCTCCAAGCCCTTCCCTCTTTCTCCATGGGAAGAGCCCGAGTGGACAGACAAGTCTTGGCTCACAGAGTATGGATAAAGGTCTTGTCAACAACTGCTTTTTTTGCTAATCCTTTTTATTCCAGCAAGGAATACTCCACGCTCTGATCCAGGACTCTTTAGCACACTTCGATTTTAGGGGAGGGATTTCGGACCTGTGCTACCAGAAGCACAGCTGACCATTATCAGCCATCCCAGCAGGAACTCGGATGGATTCTGAGGCACATTCCCAAGGCTGAGGAGTTGGAACCAGCCTGCCAAGGTTTGCTCTCTGCATCCCAGCGAGCTCCAGAGCCTCTGCAGGCGCAGAGCGCTGCCCTCCCGGCTCTGATGAACATCCCAGATTTCCCCTCGCTCGCCTCTCCTTAAAGCTTCCAGGAAATTGCAGTCCGATAAGTTAGGCAAGGAGCGAGCCCTGTCCATTGTTCCTCATTGTTTGAGGATTGTTTACATCCCCCTTTTTTGTTATCCCATCTCCCTGACTCCTCCCTGACCCCGCCGGTTTGTTTGGGCCATTGTGCAGTGGCTGTTGCTGTTTTGGTCGGGAGCTCTGAGGGTTGGAGCAGACCCCGGGATTGCACATCCAAACTCTGAGGGAGGGTTGGAGCAGACCCCGGGATTGCACATCCAAACTCTGAGGGAGGGTTGGAGCAGACCCCGGGATTGCACATCCAAACTCTGAGGGAGGGTTGGAGCAGACCCTGGGATTATATAGCCAAGATCTGAGGGGGGGGGGGTTGGAGCAAAACTGAGATTACACAGCCGAGCTCTGAGGGAGGGTTGGAGCAGACCCTGGAATGACACAGCCCCGACACGCTGCATCCTACTCGCTTTTTTGCTTCACTGGTTTATTCCACCTAAATAATAATAACAACAATACTACCCTTTAAGTGCAGCCCTGAGTGTGCTCTCCCACCGTGGCTTTGGGAGCAACTCATGAAGCTTTCCAGACTCGGGATAATCTCCCTGGGATTTTTTTATGTCACGTTTCCATAAAATACCCCCTTGAAAGGCAGACACCAAACAGCAGGATGCTTCTGAAACCATAAACCCCATCCTGAACATTGGCCCCTGGGTGTATTCTCTTCCCGGGAGGGAAGACCCTGGAAAGCCCTTCGGAGCTGGGTTAAATTTGCAGATGAGTTTGGGATTCCCCCACCTCTGCTGGCGTCAGTTTGGTGGGCTCGGGGAACCTGCAGCTGTTTCTGGAGTTGTTTCCAGAGGAGCATCCAACGGCCTCTTCCACTTGTGCAGGGCTCCTGCTGCCTCCGAACGCGGCGTTCCCGCCGACAAGTGCATCTGAGGCCAAGCGGAGCTCGGGATGATGCTCCGTGTGCTGGGGAACACGTGCGAGAGGCGTTGGGAAAAGCAAGGAAATATTTACGCTGGGAGGGGACTGTTGACAGTGCAGCTCGAGCGGTTGATGTTATTTGCAGCAGCCAGGGCTGTGCAATAGTTTTGCTCTTCTCCTGAGGCTCAGGCAGAAGGGAAGGATCAAACCGGGCTGGCAGGGCCGGCCTTGGCCGCGGCAGCAGCTCCAGCAGCTGCAGGAGGGGAAGGTGGTGAGAAGAACAAGCAACTGTGACTCAGTGTCGTGGGTGAAGGCGAGGTCAGGGCGGGCTCAGCGTGGGGACACCGACGTCCCGTGGTGGTTCCGGCCCCAGGGGATGGCTGGGTGGCCCCTGGAGCCCGTGTGTGCTGCAGGGTCGGGGTGTCAGCAGTGCCAGAGCATCCCTCAGAAATCTGGAAGTCTCTTTAGCGCTGGGAGAAGGGGGCCCAGTGTGAGGTGCTGCTGTCACGCTGTCCCAGGCGCGGCTGCCGGGCTGGGAATTCGCGTCCCCGACCGGCTCCCGCTGCGGTGCCTCCCCCAGCACGCCGGGTAGGTAATGCCACGTACTGTTTTCATTTCACACCAGCCTGTCTCTCTTGTTCTGTTTTTAGCATGGCTGACAAGAACAGCACCCTGAAATGCACGTTCTCTGCTCCTGGCCACAGCACCACTCTGCTGCAGGGACTGGCCTCGCTCCGAGCTCAGGCTCAGCTGCTTGATGTCATCCTCACTATAAATAATGAAGTGTTTCAGGTTCATAAAGTTGTCTTGGCTGCCTGCAGTGACTATTTCAGGTGAGAATCTGATAGGGAAGCAGGCATTTGTACCTTTCCCGTTGGTTTGCTGTTTCCCCGTCCTCCCCCACCCCGACCTTCCCAAAAATCCCGCCCCACAGAACCAGGTTTGGTTTTCCCCAGGGATTCCCTGCAGGCAGGCAGGTAGAGGTTCAGGATCAGTCCCTCTGCACACAGATGAGGTTTGCTCAACTACAGCTGCTGGGCCAAGGCACAAGTTCAAGGCCAGGTCTTGAACCCACCTGGGCAGGTGTCGGAGGTGTTTTGTCCTGGAGCTACTTGACCTGACTGGGAAGTGAGGGCTCCAAAATGACTCAGCCCGTGGAGTGAGATGCCCACTGTAAACACACTCCTGTTCTCTTTAACCACCACTGATGTGTCTGCAGTGCTGGGGGCTCTGGGAGCACCAGGGAGTGGGTGTGACCTCCCCAGGAGATCCAGGAGCGTCGTCCCAGCTCGTGTGGGTTGAAAACTGAAGCCCTGAGATGAGTTTTTGCAGCCAAATTCATGCAGAGTGAGCCAACTGCAGAGCAGGGAATTCACTCCTAAGTGAAAATACATATTTATCCATCTTGCCTCTGTCACAGAATCATGGAATCACTGAGGTTGGAAAAGACCTCCAAGATCACAGAGTCCCCCCTGTGCCCGACCCCCACCTTGTCCCCCAGCCCGGAGCACTGAGTGCCACATCCAGGGGTTCCTTGAACACCTCCAGAGATGGGGACTCCACCACCTCCCTGGGCAGCCCCTTCCAATGCCTGAGCACCTTTTCCATGGAGAAATCCCTCCTGATGTCCAGCCTGACCCTCCCCTGGCACAGCTTGAGGCCGTTTCCCTTCATCCTGTCCCTTGTTCCCTGGGAACAGAGCCCGACCCCTCCCAGCTCCCTCAGTTGCAGAGCCAGAAGGTCCCCCCTGAGCCTCTTTGTCTCCAGGCTGAGCCCCCCCAGCTCCCTCAGCCCCTCCTCACATGCCTCTCTCTGTCAGGCTCTTTTGTAATGTCTCTGTGACTCGGAATGACTTGGAATTGGGGATCCTTTTGGGCAGCACCAGGAGCAGGGTGAAGTGAGGGACGTGCTGGAGGCACTGGGGGTGGGCAAGGCTCAGAACCTCGGAGGGCTCGAGCTGGGTGTTGTTCCAGGCAGCAGGAGGGGTGGACAGGGGCTGTCCAACGGGGTTTGCAGCCCCGTGACACGCAGGTCCCTTCCAACCCCTTGACCTGTAGGAACCTTCCAGACTGGTTTGCTGAGCAGGTAAACAAGAGCAAGGGACTGCCCTGTCCCTTGGCATCTCCCTGGTATCCCTTTGTCCATCTCCTCAGCTCCTCTGATGGTGTCTGTCTTGCGTTCACACCCATTTTCTGGGCAGTTCCCTCCTGTCTCCCTTTGGGAACATAAACCTCCCGAGCTTATCTCTCTCCCAAACAAGGCCCACAATTAATCCTGGAGCTGCTCTCCCCCCCAGATGCCACTGGCACTGTTTTATTCCTCCCTGCTGGGTGCAGGGCCGCTGCCAAGGTGTTTTCACTCTGAACTGTAACTGCTGAGCAGGTTTCTTGTTGGAACTTCTGTGGTGCTGGGGAAGGTTGTCCTGGGGAACGACGGCAGAATAATCCAGCCTTTGAAAACACTCCCGTTTTCCTGCGGGAAGGGGGAGGGAAGGCGGAGTGAGACCGAGGCATTTATATAATCAGCATTTTAGAATTGTAACACTTTTTAGGGGAGTTGCATTCTGGTGGATGGTTTTGTCTTCAGCGTGGCAGCAGCAACAACAACGCTCTCCTCTCCTCTCCTCGTGCACGTTCGGCTCACGCACGTGTGTCCGTGTGTCCTCCGGGGCGAGGGATCGGGGCCGGGACGTGGGAGACGGAGGGATTTGAAGGGAATGCTCCCATCTGCTGCACAGGCAAATAATTGGGAACAGGATTCCCGGTCACTCGGTTACAGAAGAGCTGATTTCGTGTGCAGATATTTCCTCATTGAGGTCATTTAGGATTTCTCGGGTTTGTGCTGGACAGGTTTTCCAGCCTGGTTTGGACGGGAAACTTGGAACTCCTGTCTTTTGACAGCGTTCCCGAGATATTCCTTTATTCCTGTGTTGATGCAGGGTCTGTTCAGCATTTTTTCTGCCTGACTTGCACCTTGGAGCCGGTGCAGCTCCCGAGGCGGCTCTGATGACACCACGGATTTACCTTTCCAGCGGAAAAGGTGGAAAAACCGGTCCAAAATGTGCAGTTTTAAGGTCTTTTGTAGGACGTGGCCTCGCTGGGGCGTGTGTGCAGCAGCAGGGACCGGGGTCACCCCATGGCCCAGCTCTTCCTGCCCTGACTCTGCCTTCCCCAGAACCCGCTTGTTGGATACTCCAGGGTGCAAACCTTTGCCCCTGAGCCCCCCCATACCTAACAGAACCTGCTGAAACGGGATGGAAATGGCTGAAACCCCCCCCTCGATGTGCAGCTACACCCCCATCACACCCCCAGCCCCCCGGCACCGGGAGCTGCGGCTCTGCCAGGGCGGTTCAGGGAGGCGTGGGCGCTGTCCTTGGCGTGGAATGTGCTTCCTGTGGAATTTAGAAGCCTCCCAAGGAGGTGATCCAGGGCCTAATCTCTGCAGTGGCCTGGTCCAGTGGTGTTCCTGCAGCTGTGCTGTAACCAAAGCTCTTCTCTCCCTGTTTTTGTGTGATTCCCTGTCAGCCCCCTGCCGTCGTCCCGCAGCGTGACAGAGCTGCTGGAGGGGCTGCAGCTCCTCCTTTTTAAGGTGTGGGGAAGGAACCTTGGAGGGGAGGCTCTGTTGGGTGGCCAAAGCTGTTTGTAAGACGTGTTGCACCTGCAATATTTAACCCATTCCCTAATTCCCTGCAATATAACGGGATAACGGATCTGGGCCTCAAGGCCTTGCTGCCCTCCTGACACAGGTGTCTTCCCTGTGCTCACAAACCCTGCAGACCTAAACCCTTTAGGGTGCACTCCCAGTCTCTGCTGGTGCAGATCCCGTGGGATCCTCTGTTGTTGAATATCATGGATTCATGATACTCGCTCATGTCCTGCTCTGGGAACTCTCCCTCTTCTTGCAGCTTTGTCCTGTGCTCTGCTCCTCCTCCTCCTGCCAGAGGGATTGAAAAACTTCTCTGATAGCTGAATATTCCTCCTCGGTGCACTGCGAGCCTTATAAGCCACTGCACTCTAATTTCTCCTGGCTTGTAGAGGTTTAGCCTTGATTTATCCCCCCCTCCCCTTCCTCATCCTCCCTAAAAGAATCAGCGTGTTAAATAAAATAAAATCCCGAAGCGATACATCATTTATTTAAGAGGGTTTTTTTTTTTTCTCCTTTGTGTTCTTGGACCTCCAGGGCAATGTTCACGGGCGGGATGAGAGAGGCCAGCCAGGACGTGATCGAGCTGAAAGGTGTGTCTGCGAAGGGCCTGAAGCACATCATAGACTTCGCCTACAGCGCCGAAGTGACTCTTGATCTCGACTGCATCCAGGACGTGCTGGGAGCCGCCGTCTTCCTCCAGATGGTGCCCGTCGTGGAGCTCTGCGAGGAGTTCCTGAAGTCTGCCATGAGCGTGGAGACGTGCCTCAACATCGGGCAGATGGCCACCACCTTCAGCCTCTCCTCCCTGAAGGAATCCGTGGACGCCTTCACTTTCAGGCACTTCCTGCAGATCTCCGAGGAGGAGGATTTCCTCCACCTGCCCCTGGAGCGCCTGGTGTTCTTCCTGCAGAGCAACAAGCTGAAGAGCTGCAGCGAGATCGACCTGTTCCGCGCCGCCGTGCGCTGGCTGCAGCACGACCCCGCGCGCCGCGCCAGCGCCAGCCGCGTCCTGTGCCACATCCGCTTCCCGCTCATGAAGTCCTCGGAGCTGGTGGACAGCGTGCAGACCCTGGACATCATGGTGGAGGACGTCCTGTGCCGCCAGTACCTGCTGGAGGCCTTCAACTACCAGATCCTGCCCTTCCGGCAGCACGAGATGCAGTCCCCGCGCACGGCCATCCGCTCCGACGTGCTGTCCCTCGTCACCTTCGGCGGGACGCCCTACACGGACAACGACCGCACCGTCAGCGCCAAGGTCTACTGCCTGCCCGACGCGGGCGGCCGCCAGTTCAAGGAGCTCACGGAGATGGAGGTGGGCAGCAGCCACTCCTGCGTGGCCGTGCTGGACAACTTCGTCTACCTGGTGGGCGGGCAGCAGCTGCAGTACCGCAGCGGGGAGGGGGCCGTGGACGTCTCCTACCGCTACGACCCGCACCTCAACCAGTGGCTGCGCATCCAGGCCATGCAGGAGAGCAGGATCCAGTTCCAGCTGAACGTCCTGCGCGGCATGGTGTACGCCACGGGCGGCAGGAACCGCTCGGGGAGCTTGGCCTCCGTGGAGAAGTACTGCCCCAAGGACAACGAGTGGACCTACGTGTGCTCCCTGAAGCGCAGGACGTGGGGCCACGCCGGGGCCACGGTGGGGGACAGGCTGTACATCTCGGGGGGTTACGGGATCTCCGTGGAGGACAAGAAGGCCCTGCACTGCTACGACCCTGCCGCCGACCAGTGGGAGTTCAAGACGCCCATGAACGAGCCCAGGGTGCTGCACGCCATGGTCAGCGCCAACGGCCGGATCTACGCCCTGGGCGGGCGCATGGACCACGTGGACCGTTGCTTCGACGTGCTGGCCGTGGAGTATTACGTGCCCGAGACCGACCAGTGGACCACGGTGAGCCCCATGCGCGCCGGGCAGTCGGAGGCCGGCTGCTGCCTGCTGGAGAAGAAGATCTACATCGTGGGGGGTTACAACTGGCACCTGAACAACGTCACCAGCATCGTGCAGGTCTACAACACCGAGACCGACGAGTGGGAGAGGGACTTGCACTTCCCGGAGTCCTTCGCCGGGATCGCCTGCGCTCCCGTCATCCTGCCGCAGGCGCCGGGCCAGAGGTGACCGCCGGCCCTGGGCTCCCCTCGTGGTGCCCTTTGCTGCCCGAAAATGTGCGGTTTTGGGGGAGAGGGGAGGAGAAAACCAGCTTAGGAGTCCCTCCTCCTCCTCCCGTGGGGTCGTGGCGAGCGCAGCCCGGCAGCAGCGCTCGCCAGCCGGTCACGCCGAGCAGATGTCACAGCTGGGAAAGGCTCTTCCCTCTCTTCTCTGTTTCTTTGTTCACTGGGAGAGGGGTACAGGCTCTTCTCTCCCCTCTCTGGGTTTTTTTCCATTGAGGGGGGAGCATTTTGCCAAATTTTTCTATTTTTCTCGGCGTTCCACGCTGCAAACGGTGGCAGCTCAGGAGTTCACTCAGCGCTGGGGTCTGTTTCAGACAGATCAGGTGTTTCTTGTTTTTTGGGTTTTTTTGGTTTGTTTTTTTTTTTTTTATTAACAGCTCCCAAAAAACAAACGAACGAACAAACAGGAAAATCGTTGTGTTCGTTGTGGGGTTTTTTTAGCAGACAAAAAAAAAACCAAACGGCCAAAACCTGTGTAACACACTGACCTCCAGAAGCAATAAAAGGGACGGTGGGAGCTACAAGAGCTCGGGTGCTTGGATTGTGAAAGCATATTCCCGTTTTTCAAAGGTGACTTTCCCTTTTTTTCCTCCCTGGAAAAAGGGAATACTCAGCCCTGCACACCTCTGGTCTCCGTTGCTTGGATCTCACCCCCTCCTCGCCCCCTCCAGGCACTCTGGTCCAGAAATTCTCCCTTCCTCGGGGCCTGCAGAGTTTGCAGCACTAAAGCCATGTTTGAAAGCTTGATTATGTATAAACAGGCATGATTATCTGGTTTTGTATCTGCCAAAAAACTTGGCTTCCCTGGCAATAAGAGCTCTGCAATCGTCCATCTGGGCTGACCCACGAGGCCAAGAGCTCCTGCAGTCCGTGGGTCAGGACTTTCTGCTCTCACCAACACACCCTCAGCCAAACTCTTCCTGCAGCGAAGGAGGTGGGTGCTACTCAGTCATCAGCTCGAAGGTTTTCTTCCTTGCCATGGAAATAAGACACCTGGCATGATAAAATGATGGAATTCTGAGCAGAGCAGGGGTTTGTTGTCGTGGGGGGGGGGTTTAAATCCGAGAGATTAATTTTTAAGACGACTCCCGTCATCTTTGCGAAGGACTGTTACTTCCTGAACTTCCCTTTCCTCCAAGCCATCTTTCCTCTTTAACTTGATTAATGAATTGAAAGGTTCTCCTTTTGTCAGGAGTTCTGTTTCAAGGGCTTTGTTTTGTGTCTCTGTCATGTTTGAGTTGGATGCAGGCAGGCTCCCTTTCAGAGAGGCCGTTGCGTTCTGCTGGGAGATAAATCCCGGGCCGTAACCTTTCAGTGGCAACGTGTAATGTCTGCTCTGCTGATGAATCACTGAGAGGTCTGGGTGAAGCATGAGCTCCACACCTTGGAGTCCCTGGAAGAGATTTTTCTGGGATGATGGAGCCGAGGCAGCCCTGGGTAGGGCGCGGGGAGGGCACGTGAGCTCGGGGGGAAACTCTGCACTCCAAATTTCGGGTCAAATGATGCATCACTTCATCTGTTCCCGTCTGTTTGCTGGTTTGCCAATAATAAACTGATGAAAAGTCCTTGTTGTTGCTGAAGTCAGTGGGCATTTGGGCTCTCAGGCAGTTAATTCCAGTCCTTTGTTCCTTTGGTCTGGCCAGAAACACGAGGAAGGGGCTTGGCAGCGACAAGCGGGCCCTGAGAGGGTGAAATGGAGCTCGAGTCAAGCTTCAAAGTTTCAAAATGACGGGGTTTTCTTTTTAATGCTTCCATATGTTTATGAAAACGGTGGCTTTCTCAGCTTGGTAACAAATGCAAGTGTTCCTTGCTTTCCTATTTGCAGAACAAACTTAATCCTCTTACGGGCGCGTCGTTCTGTCGTCGTCGCCTTCCTGCAACGGCTTCACCCTGAAAGAGAGGGGGGTTGGGTTGGATTTTAGGACAAAATCCTTCCCTGGGAGGGTGGGGAGGCCCTGGCACAGGTTGCCCAGAGAAGCTGTGGCTGCCCCATCCCTGGCAGTGTCCAAGGCCGGGTTGGGCAGGGCTTGGAGCAACCTGGGATAGCGGGAAGTGTCCCTGGGATGGAACTGGATGAACTTTAAGGTCCCTTCTGTCCTGTACCATCCCAGCATTCTGGGATTCTGCAGCACTTAAATACTCTTGCCCTGTTTTATTTGAATGTTCCCACCAAGAGGATTCCTGAGGCAGCAGCTGGTGCTTTGGGTGTTCTCTCATCCCTGGGTTTTTCAGGATGTGCTTCCCGTGAGCTGCAGCTCATCCTGGCTGGAGAACCGCCTGATGGAACCATCCCTGGCATCTCTTCCCGAGGGAACTGAGCCTTATTCCTCACTCCAGGCTTCTCAGGTACGTGTGTGTGTGTTGGGGGCAAAGGGGGGAAGAGAAGAATCCTTGAAAAAAATACGGAAAAGCGCGTTTGGCCTCACTTTTAAGGTCAGCTTTGCAAAAATAAGTGTAAGCTGAGTGTCCATTCCCGTGGCTTTGCAATGGGAGGACACACAGAGCCCTTCTGGAACTGGATTTAATACACACATGCCTGGGATTCACATCCCTGCTCCCTGGCACTGCAGAGCAGGAGCTGGGAACGGGATCTGGGAGTCTCTGGATCTTGGGGCACCGCAGCTCTTCGCTGCTGGGACGTTCTTTTTATAGCAACGTAAATAATTGTTTCTCATCGAGTCAGCCAGAAATATTCCTGCTGCTCTAAATTTAGCAGGGGGCTAAAATATTTGCAGATGATAAATATTTGGGACAGTGAATTCGGGTTGACCCCTGGGAAGGCTGGAGTTGTGGCTCTGGGCAAATCCCCTCTCTGTTCCTCTGACAATAAATGGGTTTGATGCTTTTGCTGATCCAACAATTGACTGCTCGAGGAGGGTCTTCCCATGTGATGGGAGAAAACACTTCCCAGGATGCCCCACTCGGAGAGCAAGTGGACTGGGCTCCTCTTTTCCTCAGGAATGAGCAAAGCCAGATAAATGTTTGACTGCACTCGGAGTCATTTATGGGTCTCAGAGCAGCAATAAACGTTCTGGGGGTGAAGCTGATTCGGTGCATTTGGAAATGCCCTCGAGCAGGTGGGGAGCAGTCAGAGCTGTGTCCCCCCCGGGACTCCTGTCAGGGCTGGGATAATAACTCCTGTCTTCTCTGATGTTTTATGGGCCTGAAATTGTGCTTAAGACTAGAAAGGAAGCCCTGGAAAACTCTTGGCAGGGTGCAGAGCAGCTTGAGATTGGGAATGTCTGCATCCTATTAATGGTGTCACTGACCCTTTTCCAGAGGGTCTGTCGGCTCCCAATCCCACTGTCACTTCTCCCTATCCTAGAACCTGGATAATTCACCCAGACGTGGCCCAGCTCTCGTGCTGCAGCCCCTGGAAGTTGTAACAGCAGCGGAAAAACTTCCCTGCCTTTGGTTCCCAGGGAGCGAAGACGCTCCCACAGCAGCTCCCAGGCCCCTGGAGCTGATTTAAAAACGCTGCTGTGTAACACGACTGTGAGGGACCTCGAGAAGCCACATCAAACCCTGTCAGGCATTCCCAACTTCCATGTCTCTGATAAGGTCTGGAGTTGCTGAAACTCCGCAAACTTTCGGGACATTCATCACGGAAGGATTATTGGAGCCAGACTACTGTCAGAATAAATAAAACATGTTCCCCAGTGCAGCTCTAATTATGATTTTTAGCCAGTTGTGTAATGTGCAGAACTTTATTTACAATAAATCTTCCAGTTGCTTGCACAAATGAATGGGATTTCATCACTTGTGGCTGAAGGAGCAGGAAAAGTGGATGTGGCTGGATAAATTCATAGTCTGGGCGTGTTGGCACGTCAGGAGACAGAGGGAGCAGAGCTGGCTGGTCTTGCCTTCCAAGGAGGGCTGAGCTCTCCTGAATTTCACCTGGGATCATATAAACATCACACAAATATCTCCCCTTCGAGGGATTTTTTTTTTTTTTTACAGAGACAGCTTCGATTCCACTCTGCATTTTAATGGTGAGTAGGCACAGATTCATCCCACAGCCTCCAGAGCTGTTGTTTCTCATTCCAACCCAACAACTGAACTTCAGGAACAGGCACTTGGCACTTTTCAGTTCAATATTTCAGCTCCGGGGAGCCTCACGGAGAAGTTTTGAAGTTTGTGTGTGGGGCAGGTACAACTCCAGCTGCTCCAACCCTGAATATTCCACAAAACCCAACACAAAATGAGCTTTCTGCTGGGAAACAGCTGCTGGTTCAGCTGTGCAACCTCAGCCTCAGGCTCTGAGACAAAGGCCGAGGATGAAGTGGAGGGTGTCCCATCCCTGGAAGTGTCCAAGGCCAGGTTGGAGCAACCTGGGATAGTGGGAGGTGTCCCTGTGGCACTGGATGAGCTTTAAAGTCCCTTCCCACCCAAACCATCCTGGGATTCTAGGAAAGCAGAAAAGCTGTCGGAGCAGAAGTTTTCAGGAGGTTTTTCTAAGCTGTAGAGAGAAATCAAAGCTCCTTGGCTCGGTCCCTGAGGCTTTGCAGTTGCTGTTTCACACCCAGGCCCCTGTAATTAGCTAGAACTAGTTTATGTGGCTTCTTAACATCTGAAAATCTCGACTTTTTTGGTTGTTTGTGCAGGCTGCCAGCCAGGCTGTGCTGGCTGCCCCGAGCTGGAGCTGGAGCAGGGCCTTGGGAGCCACTGGAGCTGCACCAGGTTAACTCTGGAGCAGCCAGGGCAGAATTTATCCCTTGCTATCCTCGGTGGCTGTCAGTCACAACGGTGAAAAATGACCTAAGGAGTGTTTTACCCGTGGTTATCTCGTGTTTGCAATCAGGCTGCTAATCTGGGGCTGCAAAGTTGGCAATTATTAGCTTTGAATGCAGCCTCCTTCCTTTTCCCCCTGGCCTGGGGTCCTGATCCTCCTCGGGGGTGCAGGTTTGCTCCCTGGCAGTGTCAGTGCTGGCATTCAGCTGTCAGTGCCTCGAGGACGGTGGTTTTACAACGGGGTTTAGAAGGAATGTTTGGATTTCGCCGAGGTTTGGAAGGGAGGAGTTTGCCCCGAGGTGCCCTTGGCCAGTCCCGAGTCCGCAGCACTGGGATTTTCACTCTCCCGGGGTTTCAAAGGGGAGGGAGAAGTTCCTGCTGCCAGAAGGGTGTGCTTGGTGTTCCAGAGGGAGGGAATCAGAGCCTTCCCCAGGGAAGGGGGGCAGGTTTGACCCCTGGGTGGGGAGAGGTGCTCTCCAGCTCCCAGGTCAGCACTGTCCCGTCCCGGGGGAAAGGAGGAGGAAGGAGGAGGGACCCCATCAAACTGGCAGAGGAGAGGTTTACCTTGGATATTTGGGAAGAAACTCCTCCCTGGGAGGGTGGCGAGGCCCTGGCTCAGGTGGGCAAGAGAAGCTGTGGCTGCCCCATCCCTGGAAGTGTTCGAGCCCACCTTGGATGAAAGGAGCAACCTGGGATAGTGGGAGGTGGGATAGGGGTGTGGGACTGGGTGACCTTTAAGGTCCTTCCAACCCAAACCTGGGTTCTGGGATTTTTTGGGTTCTGGGATTCCATGTTTTCCGTGATCTTTCCCGTTTTTTTGTGGTATTAATAACCCAGAAATGCTGTCCCATGAGTGACCATCAAAGCTGACCCCGGGCCAGCTCTCCAGCAGGGGAGAACCTCCCCTTCTCACAGGGAAAAACAAGTTGTTCCCTTCCTTCCAAGGCTTTTCCAGGACAGCAATTAGAGCCCCAGTGGGTGACTGTGGCTCTGCTGCTCTCCAAGAGGCCCCTGCAGAGCCTGGAGCTTTGCTGGCAGCAAAAGTTTGCCCCCCATCTCCTCCCAGAGGTGTAACCTGGGCAGCACCTGCACACCCTGTTTGTGTGGGGTGGGAATGACATTGGGCTGTGGGGGGCAAAGGGAAACCATCCCAAAAACCCGTGGGTTTGCTGAGCTCCTGCTGAGAAATCCCCTCCAGTGATGCTCCAGCAAGGATGGAAACTCAGGAGGTGCCTCAGTGTGTTTAAATGGTCATCAGGATTTCAGGCAGAAATTACCTGGAACTGCAAAAAAAAACCAACCCCACCCCGAGTTCTCCTTCACTGAGTTCTCCTTCACACTCCCGTTTATTCCTTGTTAAAACCTTATTAATAATCAGGCTTTGAGCTTGTCCTAAACCCCTGGCCTAAGCCATGGCCACAGCAGAGCTTGGCTTTGCTCTGGGAGGTGACCCAGGGGAGTGTCACAGAATCCTGGAATGCTTTGGGTTGGGAAGGACCTTAAAGCTCATCCAGTTCCACGGGCAGGGACACCTCCCACTGTCCCGGGTTGCTCCAACCTGGCCTTGGACACTTCCAGGGATGGGGCAGCCACAGCTTCTCTGGGAATTCCATCTCAGCCCCTCCCTACCCTCCCAGCCAGGAATTCCTTCCCAATATCCCATCTATCCCTCTGGCAGTGGGAAGCCATTCCCTGTGTCCTGTCCCTTCCATCCCTTGTCCCCAGTCCCTCTCCAGCTCTCCTGGAGCCCTTCAGGCCCTGGAAGGGGCTCTCAGCTCTCCCTGGAGCCTTCTCTTCTCCTTGGACACTTCCAAGGATGGAGCAGCCACAGCTTCTCTGCCCAACCCGTGCCAGGGCCTCCCCACCCTCCCAGGGAGGAATTCCTTCCCAACATCCCATCCATCCCTGCCCTCTGGAATGGGCATTCCACCCTTCCTTTTAGCACTGGCTCTGGTGATCCCCACACGGGGAGAGCTCTGCCTCCCATCCCGGTGTTGTCCCTGGGAAGGCACAAAGCGGCCGCTGCTTTCCCGCCTCTCCAACATCGCCCTGGCATCCCGGGAATACTCCTCACATCGGGAATACTCCTCACATCGCCGGGGCACGGAGCCAAACCCCGAGCCTGGGAAAAGCAACCTGTAACAGAACCCCCTGCGGGGCTGCCGGAGGATTTCGGAGCAGCACAGGATGTGAGCTGGAGGAATGAGAATTGATCTCTCTCGGCGCTTTTCTGGCCTCGTGGAATTCCGGGATTCACAGGGAATGGCAAAGGAAGGAAACTGGAAGGAGAAAAAAGGAGCAGAACCTCTGTGTGACTGGGTTTGCCTGGGCTGGGGGTGGGTTTGGGGTGGGGAGGGGGGGTTCAGGTGCTTTTATTTGCCCTCTGGGAACGAGGAGGCCCCGAAATGAAAGGAGTGATGGCGAATTCCAAGGGAAACAGGGGAATGTTTCCCTGCTGGAAGCCCAGTTTGGAGCTCAGTTCGGAACTGGGGACTCTGTGGACTTTGCAGGATGTTCTTCTCCGAGGATAACGGGAACATCAATGGGAATATGGAGTAGGAAGTGTGAGAGATCAAAATCTTTGTGTCTGCAGGCAAAAAAAAATAAATAATAAAAATAAATGTTCAGCTCATTTGTGGATCTCTGGGCTGTCTGCTCGGAGTAAAAGCCCTTCAGCCTCACACCTTCCCCTCAAACCTCGGAGGGGAAACACGGAATAGTGGGATCTCCTGTGCCAGAGCCATTCCCAAGGACCTGGAGGATGAAAAACAAGGGATGAGTAACCCTTTCCATTGCCTGCAGGACCCCCCCAGCAGCCTCCAGATCCACCCCCAGCCCCAAAACCCGGAGCTCGGGAGGGGCTGAGGAATTCCAGCCCTGAAGGGAAGTTTGGGGTAAAATCGGGGAGTTTAAGGACGGAAGCAGGGCCCGGGGTCGGGCTGGAATTCCATCTGATAAAGCTGCAAAGGCAAACAATAAGAACAGGGAGTTTTTAGAGGGAGGAAGCTGCAAACCCACCCCCCCCCTCATCCCCCTGGCCATCTGCATTCCTTCCCTGGAACCAGGAGAGGAGATTTCGCTGTTCTCCAACCTCAGGAGATCCAAGAGGGGAGAATTTATCAAGTTCCATCGTAGGCACTTAATCTTGTGGTGCCGTGGAAGAGGCAGAGTGGCAGCTGGGCCTGGAGACTGTTGGATATCGGCACCTACGGGAGGAAATCCAGGATAACTCAACCCCTTATTTGTCATTGTCTCGCCCCTGGAGCAGAAACAATGTGGATAATCGGTATCTTCGTGTTAAATCTCGGTGATTTATGTGCTTTTAGCCACGACAGGCCGATTGTGCAGGTCATGTGCTGTTCATGTACACAGCCAGAGGGGGTTTCACGGGATGTGCGTGCCGGGTGTTTATTCCCGGTGAAAAAGGCAAGAAGTGGTTGGATTAACATCTGTCAGGAGCGAGGGAGGAGCAGCTAATCCTGCCAGGGATGGTGTCAGTCCCGGCTCTGCTTTCCCTGATGGTATCTCAGCCCCTGTTATAAACTTTTAAGTGCAGGTTGGCAGCTGGAATCGAGGGCAGGACGTGACTTTGTGGCTCATCCCGGTCCTGGGGTGAGGATTCAATGGTCCATCCCGGCCCTGGAGTGGTGGATAATTATAACAGGGGTGGAAAATGCTTATAAAGGTTCAGTTAGTCAGTTGAACTGACGGAACCAAGGCCACAAAGGTGAGAGTGGAAGGGAGAGCAGGGGTCTAATTTCTTCGATAGGATAATTCAGCCCTGGCAGGATTTGGTGACTGGAACAAGGACTTGGTGACTGGAAAATGCACCTTTCAGGGGCAGAGTTGCACTGAAAAATGAAGTGTCCACTTTATCTCTGTTAAAAGGAACAGGGATGAGGACTGGGACAGGAACAGGAACGGGGACAGGGATGGAGATGGGGACAGGGACTGGGACTGGGATCAGGACTGGGACAAAGACAGG